TAGCATGTTTTTGTGTTTTGCTTTGGTAACGAAATTGGTACAGAGAACCGTGAATTTTCACTGGTATTGGTACCGAATACTGAAATTTTGGTACCGTGACAACACTAGGGGTAACCGAGGTTGTTACTTAGACAGGCCTAGAAACCCTATGTGACTGTAGCACGCTCAGGGAGCAGTACTTAATTCAGTGGGAGTCCGCGTGCTCAGAGCGTATGTGGATTGAATAAGGCGTATCTCATAGGAAAACCTCCCATATGAGGGGAGCGTAGCCAACTCAACCAAGGCAGTCACAGAACAGGCTCTGGAGCATGTGTCAATAACTAGAAGGGGCGTAGCACCCAGCTCTCAGACCAAGAGGGGGACACCAACGCTAGACTTGGAAGCAGTGTGCTCATAGATAACCCTCTAGAGTGAGGGGAGCACTACAAGCTCAACCACAAGAGCAACATATCAGGGAGGCAGAAAGACCCAACAACCTGGTGTTGCTGACTCACGGAGCGCTGGGAGCAGCATGCTCATAGGTAACCCTCTAAGGTGAGGGGAGCACTGCTAAGCTCAACCAACAAGGAGAGCAACCTAACGGGGAGGCAGAGAGAGGACTAACAACCTGAGGTTACTGCTCAATGGAGCTCCACTGAGCGGAAGACCTGATGAGAGGAGGCCTCAGACACTCAATTGGGAGCGGCTCAAAGGTAACACTCCAAAATGAGGGGAGCACTGCTAGGCTCAACTAAATAGGGGCAACTTATCAGGGAGGCAGCAAGCGGCCAAGCTACCTGATGTCACTGCCACGGAGCTCAAAGAGCGGAGGGCTCGACCCTTAGAAAAGAGAGAGGAGCCCAGCTCGACCAAAGCGATCTATAGCCCAGGGGCAAAATACCTAGCTCTCAAGTATAGAGGAGGAGTCATAATCTCACATAATCTGCCCAGGACCGGCGAGCTCATAAATGACCCTCCTGCAGTGAGGGGAGCACAGCCATGTCCGGGGAGCAAATTGACCGCAATTGGGACATCAGAAATGGGATCCAGCTTAAAAGAGGATCACACATTTCAACAGGGAACACCAGGGTCCCAGCATAGAGGCAACTGACCAAGGAGGCGACAGAGACAGGCCTAATAACTCAGTAATGTTGCGTATGGAGCGGCGCTCTCAGCCCTCAGGCTGAGGCGGGCCCTCAAAAGCACAAACTGGGTGCGAAGGCTCATAGCTAACCCTCACAGTGAGGGGAGCAATCCTCAGCTTGACCAGAAGGCAGTGCTAGATTAGCTAGCAGGTCCCAATGAGAGACTGTCAATTGATACAGCTGAACACAGTCTTATGCTTTCTATCTCGATAGAGAGCATGGGTCCCATTTAACCAGACCCGATAACCTATTCATGCATACAGGGCTACTCCTCCTCAGAGCCTAAGCACTCAGGAAGGGTTCCCACACAAAAACATCTCACTCGTACCTCAGGGAATACAGTGCATCTCAAGCCCACTCCGCAGAGGGGCACACAGGTTCGACCATAAGGGCAGTGTGACAGGGAGGTCCCGTGGGCCTGACCGTCTATTGAACTGCAAAGAGTGGAGTTAAGGAGTGTGAAGCCACTCAACGCCTCAGCGAGAGGAGCTCTAGCTCAGGGAACGTGCATGATGGTTGAGAGGATGACTCAAATCTCAAGAGACCCCTCGGGGCGAGACATGAGTAGCGTGTCCTGGCCAGGGCAGCTACTCGAAGCAGATACCCAGCCAGGACAACAGGGAGCACATCACGAAGCATTGCTCCGACCCACAGGTCCTGAGGTTGCAGCGTTATACTGGGGACCTGATGCTAAGGAGGCTCTCACAGAAGCTCAGCAACTTGGCTGCGTGGTCTAGTAAGCATGAAGCCGAAGATTAGGGCTATCATCCAGCCTGGATCCAATACCGACGGGTGAGTTTGCCATCAACACCCTCGGTCAACAGCGAGAGGATCTGACTTACACAGGGGAGGTGCTCGAGAGGTCCTAACCCTAAAACAAAGTCAGAAAACCGGAACAGGTCCAAGTAGCGCTGCGGGAAAGCTAGTTAGTGAATTTACATAAAACTAGCAATAGAATAGATAAAATGGATCGTACTCACCACCCATGGTTCCCGCACATGACTCAAGCTCACGGATATAATCTGAGGACGAAGTCTGAAGAGCACTTGGGTCCGGACCATCAGTAAGGCAGTTTTATGATACATAGAAACTAACCAAAACATCATAGGTCCAGCATGAAAGACTGCAATGCAAGCGCAGGAGACTTCTACCTAACCTCGGTCAGGTGGGTGGCTTTTGGGGAATTAAGGGGAGGAAGATTAGAGCAGATGTTAATACTCTCAGAGGGAGGTGAGTAGATGGCTCATGTTTTACTCTGGTCCGGACGAGAGTGTTGGGAACGTCTCGTCTGGATCACCTCCCTCAAATATTGCCTGTTACCCTTTGACTCACGCCTCCTTTGAGCCCTACCCGAAGGCGGAGGAGGGGCGCGAGTCGCGACACTAGTCTTCTGTGCCCGCCTCTGATCCTTAGATTGAGACGGGCCAGGACCCCTGGGTTGTTCGGGCTCAGACCTGGACCTTCGTGGAATGAAGGACTTAAAGGCGGCCGAGCGCGTCTTGGCCTCCTTAAACTTCTTGACCACCGTCTCGACGGAAGTGCCGAAAAGTTCAGAAGGGGAAATAGATATGTCATGACAGCAACAGTTACTCACAACCACTTCGTCTTTAGTGAATTTCCCTTTAGAATAAAAGTACGAGAACGTTTTTGCAGTAATGTTTTATTTTTAGATGAATTCAGAGCTTTTAATCTGAAAAGTTCTGAAAGACATTCAAAAGAGTCTATTCTTTGCAAACAGCGACAACTTCGTTACAGATAAGACACACCGGCTTTGCATTCACAAAACTAGGTAGGATGAACGCATAGTTGTCTTTTCATTCTCCTTTATATGCCCTATTTTCGCTGTCAACTTTCCTCTTTAGACTCTTTGATAGTGCCTTTTTCTCTCACCAGCTAGCTTAAATGTTAGTACGTTAAGATGCCAAGGAATAATTCTGATTGTAAAAGTAGGCTACGTCAAATAATTATTACAATAAGTTAGGCTTTAAAATGATACACATTTATTATTCACAATATGGAAAGAGGAAATAGGTTAAGAGCATGACTCAAACATGCCATTAATGGGCTTATTCAAGTCCTCTTTTATTATTTGTTATTTTTATCCATTCCGCATCTCCCACATATGTGTGTTTTAGCAAGGCGGTCTGTGTTGCAAGTTGGTGAATGAAGATACTTGCCAGGTTACGTGTCACTACTCTGCTTTATTAATTTATCCAGTGTAAAACCCTGACACCGCGACACAAATGTGGCTTTTTGTTAATGACTGTCCTACTACAGGATTTAACACAGAGTAACAGCTCACTACCAGTTACAAAAGACACTGTAACAGTCTGTCACAGGCAATTCTAGTTGCATTTTTCATCAATTGATTTCTTAAATGATCCTTTGACTATATATATAGTATATATGTTCTGGCCCGCCATCCAGTGGCGAATATTTTTTTGGCCCAATGCCAAACTTACTTGCTGACCCCTGATATATGGCCAGAAGATACCAAAAGATATGTTTGTAAAGAACTAAAATATATAAGGATATTAAGATCAAGAGATTTAACCAATAGACCTCCTGTAATTTTATTTTATTTTTTTACCCTCCTGTAATTTGGCTCCAAATCTCAGGTGAAAATTGTTGTTTTGAGCCCCCTCTACAAAATAGTGGATTACTCTGTAAATATTCATCTGTGACATTTAATATTTTGGCTTACGTCACTATTTATGTTTTTCTTTCTTCAGAAGAAAAATATTAACAAAATAGGAACTCTGGTTGAGTTGACACGGAATGACCCAGCTGAAATGTTGCTTTAATATTTGGTTTGTTATAGCAGTGTTGGACTTCAGTTCAGTTACTGATACGGTTGTAGAAATATTCAGAACATACAACAGCATCAAAAACTGCTAAAACCGACTTCCATGTCATGTGATCTCATGAGGTGACCCACTCTGTCTGTGTAATCAGTTTCTATTAGGCCAGAGACAGGACTGGTGTTACTCATTTCTGTTAAAAATGAGTGAGAGCAGCATATGGCATTTCTATGGCAGTCTCACAAACCCCTGTGGTTTTATTCCCTTTAGGAATTTGTAAATTCCCAGCCTGGTAAATTGACATGTCTATTTTTATTCCCTTTTTTTCTTTGTACACTAAGAGAAGTTAGAAATCAGACAGCAGTTTAACCTGCAGTGCTCTGAATAATCAGAAGGTGGCAGCACAGTCTAATTTTTAAAGATTTGAAAAAAAAAGTAAAATCTCCTTTCTATTGTTTTCTGCAGTTAATTCTGCTAAATATTTCACACAGTACTTAATTCACATATTTTGTAGGTAGATTGCTCCAATGTTGTGCAAAAAATACATATATTGAGAAACTGATGGAATGTCATCTCATTGTAATATTTGCATAATTGTTTGTGATTGGTCTTCTGTTGCTGTTTGGATATAATTTTAGACACACAGTTTTTGTTTATATATAACTTTATTTGCTTGGCATGAAGCAAGATAAAATAGCAACTTAAATAATCTCACATTTTTAAATAGAAAATGTCCTTGTCTTTCTCCATTACAAGATTCATCTATAATAGCTTAAAATAAAACAATTATGAATTAAAAAAAGAGAGAGATATGCTCTAGCCTCCCACTTTACCCAAACTCTGTACAAAATGGCATCCGTTTAAGTGTGGGGAAACTGTTGTCCACAATTTAACACAACATACTTTAGTTCTGATTATACAAGCTTTAGCCACACAAACACTGCAGCATTTTATGTCATGTTTCACAAGCTCCCAAAGTTTGCGTCCAATAAATGATTTGTGGAATTCATGAAACTGTCCACAAAGCTCAACTTCAGTCAGTCCGTCCATCTGTTTTTGTTTTTTTTTTCTTCTCCCCAATAGCATTTCCTTTTCATAGTTCCTCAGTCTTTCTTTTGTCTTAACATCTACACATTCATGTCTTTTATTGTGTACTTCCTTTTCTATTTTTTCCACTCTTTTTCTTTCACACACGAGAAGTCACTAGCAGTGAGCGTAGTCTGCGTGCTGACGTTGCCTCCAGCTCTTCCAGAAGAGAGTCTTTTCCAGACCCGCTCCGTGTCCCGGACCCCAGTATCAGCATACGGAAGGCTTCCCTCTCCAACAGACCTGCCATGTTCTGCAGGAAGTAACCTTCACAGTATGTACTGAGCTCCACCGCACCATGAGCCTGGACAAACACACACACAAAAACTAATTATGCACTCAGTTACCAGCGAGAGACACTTTGGTACAGGGTTTATTTTGTGAGTCTTAAGTCTTAGTTTGCTCTTCCACAAATTAAGGCCTTAAAAAGGTCTTACATTGGAGCAAAGTGCAAACATCTAAACATCCTTAAATCAAGATACATTTTCTTGAGACGCAAACTGATGCAAAGTCTTGTTTCCTGATAAATGAAATGAGTTTATGCTTAAAACAAGAACAAATATCTGTCACTGGGGTATGAACTAGTTTCCCATTTGAAATGTTACATTTTCTGAGCTTATTGTCCAATATTTGTTCTTGTTTTAATCATAAACTCGCTTCATTTTGATCAATTTCTCACAAAACAAATATTATGCAATTTTGCTTCTTAAGTAAATGTGTCGTGATTCACTAATCTTTAGACATTTGCACTGGAAAACCAGATGAAAATACTGAGCATGTTTTTGCAGTGTGATCACAAGTACAGTAAAGTTATTTCAATATTCTAGTGGTTGGGAGCAGAGCTATTCAAAAGCTTTTTTTTTTTTTTAAACGAATGAATAAAAAGTAACAGATGTGTTGTAAATTTCAAACTTTGAAATGTTGCTAATACAACTCATTTACATTTAGAGAACATCGACAGTGTTGCATTCAATTTTTTCCTTAGATCTATATATGAAAGTGAAGTGGACGTGTGGCCGGAATTTGTGCTCTGCATTTAACCCATCCACGTGCACACACACAGCAGTGGGCAGCCATATTGCTGCGGTGCCCGTGGAGCAGTTGGGGGTTCAGTGTCTTGCTCAAGGGTCGCCATGACTGCCCCAAGGTTTTTGGTCTTAAATTTACCTTCGTACATTGCTACTATTTATGCCGGGTTCAGACTACACAATATTTTTGTCGGTCACGATAGTCACTGTGTCAGATTACACGATTTTGACTCCTAAAATCTTGTCGTGTCGTGGACAAGAAACATGTCAGACTACACGTTGCTTCCCGACCATTCATCGCGTGCTCATCTCTCTTTCGTTTTGCCATGTTTGAAACCTGTGTATGAAAGAGCTTCTGTGCTGCTATTGGTCAACGTCACCAATGTGACCGAACTCGTCGTGAACGACGGAAAAAAACTTAAACATGCTAGTCTTTCTGTCGTGATGTCGTGAAGCATCGCAGACGCGGAATCAGTTGTCGTCCACTATGACACACTACACGTGCTGAAACGATGGAATCTTGCGTCCCGACGCCCATTGTCGTTTACGAATCCCCACGACACTCTACGTCGTCAGTTATTACATTATCATTTTACATTCAGATTATTATTTTATATATACTTGTTATTTTATATTATAAAATACTTTTATGTAATTATATGCATTTAAATTTTTTTATAGTTGTATATACTACATACTTGTATATTTTTACCTTAGCAGTGTGGTAGATGTTCACAGCATTGTCGAGGTCAATGTTCTGAGCACAGATAATTTCACAGTGCCGCTGTAGCGCCCCCAACTGGAACAAACTGGCTGCTGTCAGTAACTACAGAAAGCAAACAAAGGAGTGAACAATGATTTCTTCCGTTTTATTACTTGCTTCAATCTACAGAAATAGTTTCTATTTTTGAGTCTCAGTGAATCTGAGAAGATAAAGTTTCATCTTGAATTACTGCAGGTAAACTCAAGAGGTTCCAGTGCATGAACAATTGGCAGTGACTGTGGATGAATTGCCAAGATCTTCCTTGTGACCCCTCTCTGTTTTTGAGTATTAAGCTGGGTTGGCCTGTCTCTTGTTTGTCTTACCTCCAGTAACTCTGGGACGCCCATCTTCAGAGACTCCGTCCCCCCGCAGTACAGGTATGACATCATCATCTGGATAAACACGATGAGACATTGATAAACTCCTGATTACATCTTGGAACACCCTGTTGTATCTCAGCCCGCTGAACGAGGATTCAACTGATCTTACCTGGAAGATGTTGTACTTGACGTTGCTGATCTCGATTTCCTTGCGGGGCTGAGTGCTGTCCGTCCCGTTCAGCGCCAGCAGACTTTTTAACCTGATTTCAGAGCAGACAACATGTTTTATTCTTAACGGTTCATTTGTGTTTCAAAATATTATTTACATATAGAGACCTGTGTTACGAGATAACAGATTTCTTTTATGTAAGTAACGTAACAGACTCACCTGTCGGACGCCGTGAGCAGCAGAACCCCATGAGCGTAGAACGGTTTGCCCTCCACTAGGAACGTCACGTCAGACATCTCTGGGTTGTTCAGGAAGTGAGGGTCTGTGGAAAGATGAATCTGAGACATCAGGCCCAAGATTTTCCAGAGTAATCCGTTACAGATAGAAATAAAAATGAACTGCAACTATAATGTGCACTATGGAAGACTGAATAAAAAAAAGTGACTTTTTATCTCACAATTTTGATGTTTTTCTCAGAATTGCAAGATAGACTTTTTTTGCAGAAAAGTTTTCTATCTCTAAAGTTTCTCGCAATTTTGATCTCTCAATATCTCTGAGAAAAAAGTCAGAATTGTGAGACAAAAAGTCACAATTACCTTTATTTTTTATTCTGTGGCAGAAATAGTCTTCCATAGTGCACTACCAAGTTCCCCTTCAGGAACTCGACTCGACGCAGCGTCTCGTTCCCTCGGGGAACCATGGTTACATACGTAACCTAGAGACGTAACTGAACACCGTATCATTGACAAACTTTAGTTTTTTTTTTATTTTATTTTTTATCAATGCTGGGTAATTTAACTAGTAGATTCAGTAAATGCTGCAAATTCATAAATGTAACTGTACTAAGATTGAGTGAATTACCGAGTTGAGCAGAGAGCGCTGCCTTCTTTTCTTGGATAGGAGGAAGTGGAGCAGGACCGTAACAGTGACTAAAAATGACGCCCGACTGGTGGATTATTGCCTCGTTCTATAGAGAAAGAATTAGTCATAAGGTAGTTAAACTAAGAGTTATTTAAAGCCATTGTCACCCCAGGTCTGAATTTCTGGCGCAAAAACAATAAAAAAAATTTTTTTTAGAACAGTGTCCTTTTCAGATCTTTTTTAGACATCTTAAATTTCAAACCACAATGAACTGTCATGTTTTAATTCATAGTCTAGGTTCAATTTTTAATTGCTCACCATCCATTGACATAATAAAAATTCAATGTGTAAGTTTGTTGTTGCTTTTTTTTGTTACATGGGCTTTTTATGATTTTTATTTAGTTTTTTTACCTTGCTGTTTTTCAGGATGTTGAACATCAGAGGAAGGCCGATGCAGACTAGTTCCTCACAGTAATCCTCCTCTTTGATGGAGGTGAAGTCTCGCAGAAGGGAGAGCATGACTCCGGCTCTCGACCTTTGCTGAGCGCTGCGTAGTGACTCCAACCACACATGGAGCTTCCATGGCACTCCTGCAGAATCAGACAATATGTGAAGAATTGTTTACAAATAATCAAATGCTTTTTTGATAGCTCAGCTTTACATAACCGTATCAAAGAAAGAAATTCCATATTTATATATGTATTTTTTAAATTGAACGTGTTACTTTACATCATCTACACTCTTTATGTTCTCTGAAAATGATTTACGATTCTGTGGTTAATCATGCATCTAACCTACCCAATGATCTGAGCTCCATGGTGACATCTAGGTAGCCGTGCTCTGCGCTGTAGAAGGATGCCTCCTGCAGAGCTTTCATACGGGCCTTACACAGCTTGGGCAAGGAATCTTCTGACACCAGGCTGAGGTTTGGGGATGGAGGAGGGGGTAGAGAATGTCCATTCCGGCCAGACGCCCGCGTCTCGGCCTCCACACCCTCCGCCAGGATCTCCTCCAGAGAGAGCACATCTTCCCTTACCTTCTGAGGCTGAGAGAGGAGCTTCCGCAAAACATTCCTGGAGAACATATTTATGCTTTAGTTCAGTGATAGATGGATGAGCAGGTAGATACACAGCTCAATACAAAGCTAAATGGGTGGATAGATAATGAATGCTTGGACATATGGAGAGACAGAAGGATTGATGGATGAGTAGATGGGTAGATGCATACAGTAGATATATATTTGCATAGATTGGAAGATAGGTGCCTGGGTAGAACATGTGTGATTTGAAAGGTAGTTTGATGCAGAGGTAGAGAGCTGGCTGGAAATATGGAATATAACGATAGCTTAATAGAAAGCTAGATGGATAGATAAATAATATTACAAAGGCAGATTGATGAAAAATAGATCATGAATGGTTGGATTGATGGCCAGATAGCTGGGTGGCTAGATAATGAATTACTGGACAAAATAGGTCAATAGGAAGCTAGATGGATGTATAGATGAATGATTAGTTGGATAGATAATGAGTAGACAAAAAGAGGGATGGATGGATGATTGGAAGGACAGATAGCTAGCAGATAATGAATGACTGGACAGACAGACAGACAGATAGATATATAGATTCTGGCAGGATAGATAATGAATGATTGGACAAAGCTAGACAAATCGATAGAAAGCTAGATGAATAGAAAGTAAGTTAGCTGGTGTGGTAATGCAGTTGTGTATGAGTTGTCATAAGGGATCATGTTGAGAGTTGTGGGGGGTGAGTAGTGCGTGTTAGTGTGATCTGTTCCAGGCTGTTGGGGATGATGTGAGGTATCACCTATGGCCATGGGCGGCAGCATGACTGAAGCAGTTCATGTCCTCATAGAGCGATGATGTCAGCGTGTTACTGTCCCGGGACCTCAGCAGGGGGTCGGCACTGCGCACCAGCAGTAAACTAACCATTTCGTAATTCCCTGCGAGATTGCGAAAGCAGGAGAGTGACCAGAGGAGAAGGAGAAAAGGAGAAACAGATGGTGAGATTACACCGATCTGGAGAATAAATGAGAAAGAACCACAATAAAAGAAAAGAATGCAATTCATGATCATTAATGTAATGATCTTAGAAGGGTCATGTCACAAGGAATCCACTTTTCCTTGATCTTTCGAGATAAAAGAGCTTAATGTACTGTGAAAACATACTGTAATTTTTAGAACTCACAACATCCTCTTCATCCAAAATCAACTCTGCTTTCTTTAGTTTTTTGACACCAAGTAACATGAAATGTTAACATTACACCCACATTTACAATAAAGAATGCCTACTAAAGTTCAGAAACATGGCCCTTCCAGTCACTGAGGTATAGACTTCAGTCAGGGTGGCGCCATATTAAATTTTTGACAGGAATGAAAACTAGGCTTTGAGTGATAGAAGTACAGTGTATTCAAAGGTTGTACTGTTTAACAACATACAGATGACGAAATGTCTTTCTAAAACAACTTTCAGAAGACAAAAACTCCTTAAAACATTTTTGAAAGTTGAGTTGTGAGTTTTTTATATGAAAATTATATGATCTGAGACCTTTCTATAGTGCGTGCTATTCTTAAAGCGGTCATGTGATGCAATTTCAAGTTTTCCTTTCTCTTTGGAGTGTTACAAGCTGTTCGTGCATAGATAAGATCCCTAAAGTTGCAAAGATTAAAGTCTCAAACCCAAAGAGATATTCTATTTAAAGGTTAAGACTCATCCATGCCTTCCTAAAACGCCTCATGTAAACATGCCCCCACATGTCTACTTCACTGTGGGAAGATTTGCATAACACCGCCCAGATGTTCACGCAAAGAAAGAAAGTGTAACTTTGATTCTTGCTGTAGTGTTGCTGCTGCCGCCATGTCGTGGAGATGCTGTGTTTCGTTGCGAAAGCGAAAATACTCCTTAAACCACATAAAAACATTTCATTACACCAACTACACAAAATAATGTTCTTTTTTTGCAACGTCATATGACCCCTTTAAGACCGTAAGGCTGCATCTGAAATTGTGTATTCCCCTACTATATAGTAGTCGAAAAACAGTATTTGACAAAAGTATGTTCGAATTCACAGTAATCATAAAAGAGTAGGCAAAAAGTACCTGACTAGCCTAGTACTTCCGACAAGATTCTGAAGTGTGCCTATGATGCCATGGGAGAGGATTTGTGAATGCAACCCTCTACATTGCGAGTAAATCACTCGCATATGCGACTAAATCCACCTCGCTTTCCAGATCGATGAGCTTTGTAAAAATCTACGCATTTCAGAAAGGCGGGGCATAGAGGAAAAACAATAATGTACAGTATGTGGAAAATAATGTGTTTTTTAAACCTTAAACCACATAAAAACATTTCATTACACCAACTACACAAAATAATGTTCTTTTTTTGCAACGTCATATGACCCCTTTAAGACCGTAAGGCTGCATCTGAAATTGTGTATTCCCCTACTATATAGTAGTCGAAAAACAGTATTTGACAAAAGTATGTTCGAATTCACAGTAATCATAAAAGAGTAGGCAAAAAGTACCTGACTAGCCTAGTACTTCCGACAAGATTCTGAAGTGTGCCTATGATGCCATGGGAGAGGATTTGTGAATGCAACCCTCTACATTGCGAGTAAATCACTCGCATATGCGACTAAATCTTACTCTGGGCGACTAAATAATGTCTAACATTAGCCATTGGCTGTGTGTGTGTGTGTGTGTGTGTGTGTGTGTGTGTGTGTGTGTGAAAAATAGTATATCAGTCTGGCGAGTAAACAAAAAAATTTACTAGCCAATGGCGATTATATTGCCAAGGTGTGCGTAGAGGGTTGGAATGGCACTGAAGTGACACAACTGAAGCTGGTAGCTCACATGATAATGACAACATGGCAAATGTAGTTCTATAACATACTTTTTTAATAATCCTGAAGTAATTATTTGTTCAAAATAAGTACCTACTCGAGTGTATGCGATTTCGATGCAGCCTTCATTTTCAACCGTGTTAAATTTAATATGGCATCTAACCTCATTAAGGTCTATTAAGGATTTCCGCTGTGTCCCAAATGGGATAAATCCACCAAAGGACACTTCGAAGTGAGGACAATTATGGCCACCAGGATCGTTACAAACCGAAGTGGTTTGGTCCCCAAACCTGTTCCTGGAGGTCTAATGTCCTGCAGAGTTCATCTTCAACCAGCTCCAACACACTTGCTTGAAGGTTTCTAGTGATCCTGAAGGCACTGATTAGCTGGTTCAGATGTGTTTAAGGTTGGAGCTAAACTCTTCAGGACAGTGGCTCACCAGGAACAGGTTTGGACACCCCTGCCCTACACCCTTCATCCTTCATCCTCTTGAAGCTCAAACTCTGGAGGGTAAACCCTTCGAAGGGATTAGGGCATAGGGACAAGCCCTTCAGACTAGAACGCAGTGAAAGTATAGCCCCGTTTCCACCGCAGGAACTTTCCCCAGGAACTAGGGACTTTGGGCTCGGTGTGTGTCCACTTCAGGAAC